GCCTTCCCCACCCGTGCAATGGCTGTGACACCCTCTCACATAAGGCTGCTGGGAAGAGCAATGAGATCACACATGCAGTGTCTGGCACAGTTCTGTGTACACAGTCGACACTCAATATGGCCACAGACACTGTCATCACCATTATGAAGAGGGCACAGACCAAAAGATGTTTTTCAGAAAAGGAAATTGGGGGGTAGAGGGGAAGGAGAACGGGTGCTAGAGGACAGCCTGGATGACAGCCTCCGGGACACACACGTCTGAGGGTAGAGCCGTGGGGCTGAGCTGGCAGGGGGCGGGTGGGAGTGGGGAGCCCGCTGAGGTGCAGCTGAAAGTCAAGACCGAACCCAGGACGGTGCAGGAAAAGCCCCCAACTCTGCCAGACTTGGGACCTCTTTGGAGCTCAAGGCCAGAGACAAGATTAGACCACACAGACCAACTGCCCAAAAGATGCTCCCCCATGAGAGGTCAAAGCTTCTCTTTGCCACCTGCCCCCTTGCCATTGCAGCCCTCAAGGATTCCCTCCTGAAAACTCGAACCTCAGAGACAGCTCATGACCCGACAAAGTGACATGAAGGGATCCAAGGATCCCCATGGCTGAGGCCTGGGCTCCCCGGAGACAGCCGCGGCTTCACCAGGGCCGGGCGCTCCTGCCCCCTGGAGCCAAACAGGACCACAGGTGGTGCCAGAGAAGGCAGGAATTCTCCTGCCCACGATGAGAGTGACCAGGAGAAAATTCTGAAGTGTCCTGAATTAAATCACAGCAGGCCGGAGGGTGGAAGGGAGAGACAAGAGAAGTTATCCATTACCAACGGCAGGATGACCAGGGAAAGCTGCCCACACTCTCCTGAGTGTGTGTTGGAGCACTGAGTTAACTTCCAGGTGGCTCTTTCCACAATTACCTAAAGCAAACAGGCAGGCGCCCCCCCGCCCCCATTGCCAGGTGCCCGTCTTCTTGCTTCCGCTCGAACTTTCCAGACCATTGCGCGCCCCAGTCCAAAGGAGCAAACACTCCTCACAGACTCCCACCGTCCCCGCCCTCTGCACCCACAGCCAGTGTAAATGCTTTCGAAACGACTTACAGCTCTTCCTTTTCCCCCAAAACACAACGTAGAACACACCGAACACACCGTGGGCCCGGGGACCGCAGACACTGCTCTCCCCGGCCCCACCGGGGCGGCTTCGCCCGCACGCCCAGGACCTGGTCCTTCCAGGCCAGCGTCTGGCTCCGTAAACACTTTCTTTCAGAAAAGCTTTTGGCCAAGGAAGTGTTTTGGTTGCCAGGTACATAAGGAATCTCTAAATGTTTTTACATTTCCTTCAGGCCTTCATTCAAATAACCATCTCGGTGAAAACTCCCCCGGCCCCCGCCCCCCATCCACCGAACACGCCCCCTCAACAGAAACGAGCTGCTCCTCCCTCCCTCCCTTCCTCCCACGCCGTTCCTCCTCACGAGCCTGGCCACAGTCATACTACGTATTTCATTTACATCCTCACCAGCACGAAGCTCCCACAAGGCAGGAACGTTTGTCTGTTTTGCTCACTGCTGCATCTATAGCTCTTAGGATAGTGCCTGGAGCACAGCAGGAGCTGAAAATATTTTTTTCAAATGAATGAATTATTAGCTACACTTATTTAAACACTTGCTCTGCACTAGGGACTTTTTGAAAATACAATCTGGCTCGTTTTCCCCTTCCACCCTGTAAGGTAGGGTAATTACTTATGTTTTCTAGGGGAAAACAGGGACCCTGAGCAGAGAGATCGCTTGCCCAAGCTCAGCCATTTCTCCGCGGCGGGCAGGGCAGACATCTGTCTGGCTCCCCAGCCTCAGCCATGGCCTGTACCAGACGAGCTGAGTTCGGGTGGAGGAGGGACGAAGGACCAGCCAGGGGCAAAGGAGGAGCCGCGGGAAGCCTCCGGAAGTTCTCCTGAACCCGGGCCGGGAAATGCTCTCCCTCTCCTCTGTCCGGCCCAGAGGCCACCATCACAGGTGCTGTCCGGCACTTGATGTGCGGCTAGTGCAACTGAGAAACCACACTTGTAATTTGATTTCATTTTAATTAACTGAAATTTAAATAGCCACACTTAGCAAGTAGCTACCCTACTAGCGAGCAGAGTTGTAGCCTTTAAGACTGACCTGGAAAAGCCCAGGTTTGTGACACCAACGCTGCCCTCACAGGGCTGGCGGCCTGCAGGCCTGGCGAGACAGCGGCAGGGAGGGCAGAGGGGTGCGCACTCACAACTGCGGGAACCCAGGCCAGCCTGCGCGGCCCCCACCCTGAGAGGGGAGGGTTTGTTGACCCAGTCCTAGGATAAAGTGACGGGGTCAGGGGTCAGCGTGCCTGCTGCCGGGGTCTCGGTCCTCAGTCAGGGCGGCTTCCTCCCCACCCCACCCCACCCCCACCCCCTGACAGTCTGTCATCCAGTAGTGAGTACGGAGCAGGCCATGTCACACAGCTGGGCCTCCTCAGTCCCTCTCAGGGGTTCACACCGGACCATTTTCAAGCTCCTTTAAGACGGAGTCTGGGTGGCTGACCGCACGCAGGCCCTATAGGGTTTACACGGACTCAAAAAGTGTTTGCTGCGATCAATACACAAGAACGGAGCCAAAGCAGGAGCAGATTTCTGGCTAGTGGAAGCCGAGCCCCCTGGGTGGGAGTGGGGTGGGGGCTTAGCTCAGTGCCTCAATCTCACTGTTTGGCCAGCCATCCTCAAACTTGCCAGTCCCAAAGGACATTTGCGGAAAAGGACATTTGCGGAAAAGGACATTTCCCAAGACTCACTCCCAGATATTTCTCTTGGGTATATCTGGAGCCAAGAATCGGCATTTGGCTTGCCCCCAGCCCCACCCTTCACACACACACACACACACACACACACACACACACACCCCAGTTCTGATGCAACTAGACCCAGAACTAATCTTTGGAGAAGCACTGTTGCAGGCTGAGGGTAGGAAAGTGGGTAGACGTTGAGGGCAGGAAGAAATCACCCAAAAGGCAAGCTCAGAAGCTGAGGCAGGAGTCTGAATGACAGCAAGGTGGGTGTGTGTGTTCTGTGTCCTGTCACTCTGCAGAAGGCAGCAGGAGACCCTGAGCCACCTGGGTACAGCCCGTGTCCATGGCAAGTGCACCTGAGCTCCAGGACACGTGGGCAGCCGCTAACCCCAAGGAAGGCGGGTCTCCCGGCTGCAAGAGCCCACAGCCCCAGAGCCAGCGGACTTCCCCTCCAAACCCACTCCAGCTGCTGCTCACCCCTGGCCCCTCACTTCTCCAAAGCGAGACATCTCACTCATTTGCTCCATGCTTCCTGTACAATGTCTTTATTTTTACTCTCAAGTTTGTGGGCTGAGTCTCTGTGGGTGTAGGAGGGGAGTTGGGTATTTTCTACTTCTCTGCATTTTCCTTCTGAACTGCGAGGGCTTTCACTTCCTCCCCAAACTCTCAGTTCTGCCTTAAATTCACAGGCTGTCCAGGTCTTGAGACCACCTTGTCCATCCCTCCTGGGCAACAGAGAAATGGAGAAACAATGGCCACTGGCTGCCTTCGCAGTGCCTAACCACTCGGGAGTGCAGTGAAGCCAGAGAGGTAGCAGTAACCTCCCTGGGGCAGGTGCCCCGGCTGCGGTGTGCGGTGTGTGCGGTGTGCGTGGCAGCAGAGGCAGGGAGGGGAGCCTTGCTCCCTCCCGACAGGGGCCTCAACTCTGCCTCGCCTCCCTCTGGCACCATGGTGGGCAAGCCCGGGCCTCCACTCCCCCCCCGCCCCTGGCCTCTTCTGCCCCAGCGCTCAGCCAGCCAGGGGTCACGCTCAGCCTGGCACCGAACACCCCTCAGCTCTTCCTGCTGTGCTGATTCTACATTTGGGGGTCGTGGGGACCTGCTGCCCTGGAACTCGGGACATGCTGGGGCGGGCCTCTCCCACCCCAAGCTCTCAGAACCGCAGTCTCCTCTCTGAAACAGAGTACGAGTGTCTTAGACCCAGTGGAGAATTGGAAAACATGCCTGGGAGCACAGGAGGCCTCGAGCAACAGCACCTCCACATGTTCGAGGAACCAGAAGGCAGACAGCTGCAGCACTCCAGCCCCCAGCTCTGGAGCATTATCTCCCAGCCGGAGGCGTCAGCCTGCCCCCTTGGTTTTCCGCTTTGCCTTCAAAGAAGCCCTCAGACCCTAAAATAGACCTCTGGGGAGGCAGGGTGCCCAGCTGGACTGGACAGACTAGACCCGCAGCTGGGCACCCTGCCAGGGGCAGGTTACAGTCATCAGGGGCAAAAGTGCCCCCTGGCCTCTGCCTCACCCCTCCTTCTCTCCTCTGGAAGTGCAGTCCAGTGTATGCCAGCCTCAAGGCGGCCCGGCCCCTGGACACCATCCTTCCCACGTAGGTTCAAGTCCCAGGGCTGGGCACACAGCTTGTAGAGCTGGTGTCTGCTGAAGCCTGTGCAAGCAGCCACAGGGTCGTGACTCAGCGCCCATGAAGTCAGTCCCTTCAACAGTCAGGGCACTGTCATCCACACGTACAGCTAGGGGGCTGAGGGGAAGCCAGGCAAGGTGCCCCCCGACCCAAAGCTGAGGCTGGAGGGGAGCCTTCGGCGGGAACTCCACCCCGCTGGGGTATTTCCCCTCAGAGTCACCCGGGACGCGGTTGTGTCAAGTCTCCTGGGGACACTGGAAGGAGACCCGAGAATCAGGTTTCTGAGAACACACCGAGTCCTGCGAGTAGACCACAGGGTGCTTCCCGGCCGCAGGGCGGTCTCAGCGGAGAGCGCACCTCCGAAGGCGCAGGACGCAGCAGGGAGTACGCGCGCCCCTCGCTCGCGACGGAACAGCTGGGCCACTCGGAGCCCGCACCTTGTGGCCGCGGGAACCCAAGCTAGCCACGGAAGACGGAAGCCTTCACCCCTCCTTTCCTCCCTCAGGCCGCTCACCAGCCCCCATCTGCGGCGGCCACAGCGGTTTCCCCCACCCGCCAGTTGGTTCAGCCCACCAGGTGTGCGCGAGGCCCTTACCCAGCGCGGGGCAGACCCCTGGGACCAGTGCCGCCCCCGGCGCGGCCAGCAGGGCGGTGAGCAGGGCGCAGCGGACCGCCAGCATGCTTTCTCCTCGGCTAGTGGCCCATAGTTCCAGACGGGCAGGCGGGCGAGCGGGCGGGTCGGAACCGGGCGGCCGGGGCGGGGCGGCGGCGGGCGGGCTCAGGCACCTAGGGCAGCCCCCATCCCTGGGGGGCCCCGCGCTCGGCGCGGACGGCCAGTCCTCGAGCCCCGCGCCGTGCCCGGCTCGGCTCCTTCTGGCCGAGCTCTGTGTCAGTGCGACTTCCCACTTGCACGTGACTCAGAGCCACGGACAGTCCAGGCAACGGAGGAAAACATTTAAGGAACTCGCGCTGGGGCGTCTCCCGGCCGCCCCAGGGTGCTGTTACGAAAGCCGGAGCGGATGGCGCAACAGCCCTGCGCCCCGGCCGATCTCAGGCTTCCTGCCCGTGCGCCACACCTGAGCCCCGGGGCAGGAGACCCCGAGCCCGGCGGGGGCGAGCCCGGCCAGGCCCCTCCCCTAGGTTCCATTGATGAGAGGAGCGGATTCAGCCAGCACTGGTCGGGTTTGATTTTTGGTTTCGCGACCTGGATGACGCTGTGAACGGAGCACCTGGAGAGCCCCGGAGGGGGCATGTGCCCCTCGCCATCACTGTGGAGCATGCTCCAGCACGGGGTGCCCCTGGAATCTCCTGCATAGCCCTAAGAACCACCAGTGCGTGGGTCTGGCCCCGGGGATGCTGGTTTAATCGATCTGGCTTGAGGCTTGGGCACTGAAGGGCTCACTGCTGGAAAGGCACGTTTCCCCTCCGTGCCTGCCTGTGGCCCGCAGGCTGCAGCGCCCACGAGGAAACGTTGGGCTCTGGAGGCTGGCAGAGACCAGGCTCCGTCCAGATCTCCGCCTGCTGTCTGTGACTGCTCTTCCAAGCCTCTGAGTTTTAGTTTCCTCATCTGTCAGAAGGAGACTTTGTTTAAGTCTGCGCTCAGGAGATGGTATGGACACACCTGACACGGGGTCCAGGCCACAGGTGCGCAGTAGATGTCCACACCTGCACGCCCACCATCCCCATCTGGTAGATAGACACTGTACTTGACCTTCAGGAGCAACCATGAAAACCTCTTGAAAGGGCCCACGAAGTTTCCCCAGGGATCCCGAGGCTGATATGGTGGCCTTGAAGCTCAGTTTGAGAGGAAAGAAAATACTGAAATAAGGTTAGGGTGAGAAGCTTCCAGACTAGCAACTTTTGCTAATTAGAATGCACTTTTCCACGTGGGTCTTCAGGCTGACCCTAACCAGGACCAAGGTTCCTGGGGCAGCGGCAATGGTGTGGCATGGAGGAGCCCCCAAGTGGATGGGATTGGCCTGAAGGGACAGAGCTCCTGAAATGCAGCTCTCAGACCCTGGCATCTGGGCGGGAACCACCCGCCTGCCAGCAGTGCCAGGCAGAGCCAGGCACGTGCCCTGACCCACCTGTGGTGGAGGCTGACAGGGGGATTTACTTCAGCACACTCACAGACAGGGAGAGAAAGGCGTGTTGGAGGGCCGATCTTTGGCCACTAGCCCTCTGGGCTGGAAGGTGGTTTCCACAGTGGTTGCCCGCTTCCCATCTCTTTGTGGAAGATGCAGGCCTGAAAGTGACCGAAGGAGGGCTGCAAGCTGCGAGGCTGAAACCAGGAGGCTGAAGAAAGCCCTCTGCTCGGATAGGAGAGTTGAAACACGGTGCTGAAGCCCAAGTACAAATGTCCGAGACCCCATCCGGCCACCAAAGTGGGCCTCCCTCTCTAGTCCACGGGTGGGGTGACTGTGTTCTGGAGTCCGACGGGTCAAGTCCCCATCCCCACTTGCTGGAGTGTGACTTGAGCAAGTTACTCAAACTCTCTGAGCCTTTATTGCCTGACTTTTTAAATATGAGAGCAACAGTATGCAAAGTATTGATATCGTGGTTCCAGTGAGAAGACCTGGCTCATCTCTTTTCCCTCAGCCTCACGTTCTGCACTTCTGTGCTTTGAATACAACTATGTTTACACAATAACATTTAGGGCTTCTCACCTCCATGCCTTTGTTCAAACTATTCCCTTTGCCAGAAATCCTTGCCTTACCCTCGGACAGAGTTGGAAGTCACCTACCAACTCTGTTCACCACCCCGTCTTCCCTGCCAGCCACACCACAGGGCTCCTGCTGCTGCTGCTGCTGCCACCGAGCAAGGCCCGGCACAGAGCAAGGGCCCTCGTCTGGAGCTGTGGCCTCCCCTGCAGCGCAGTCCGAGCGAGGCCTCTGGCCCCCGTGAAACCCCACTTGAACTGCACGCTGCGTGGAGTTTCAGAATTCATGGGCAGCATTCCAGTGTTGTATTATGGAAAACACTGATAAGGCAGAGAAGAAAACATACCTGTACAGCTCAGCCTGACCTGCCCACTCCTAGTTTCCAATGTCAGCCCCCATGGGGTCACCAGGTCTCTTGCCTGGCTTCAGGACTCAGGAAGGGGAGGCTCAGACCCATCTAGGTTTCTCTAAAGCCCCACAGTGGAAGCCGGGGTGTCGAGTCACCAGCAAGCGGAACCGAGAACCAGGCAGGGCTGGGGGTCTTAGTCATGCAGCAGAAGGAACAAGGACAGCCGCCACCAGGGCACCTCTCACGGAGCGCGCTGCCTTCCGCCCTGAGGGCTAGGAGACAGTCTCCAGCCCCCAGGGAGCACCCTGGGGCTCAGAGAGGTGGTGCAACTTGTTCGGGATTGCACAGCCCGTTAGTGGCAGCTCCAGAGTGAGGTCTGGCTCCCGGCCCAGAACTCTTACTGAGGGAGGGCACAGTGGACACAGGACCAAGGACACCGCAGGACAGCTGTCCGTCCCCTCACAGCAGGCACTCGGGGGCAGACAGACCAGAAGAGAAGAGGAGAGGGGAGCAGAGCCTGGCATCTGGGACGCCCTCCCTGGGCCTCCTAGACCCTCTCCCCTCAACCAGCGTGTGTTCCTGCAGTTGCCCTCCGTCCCCCTAGAGAGGGAAGCCCGGGGCTGTCTCGGCTTCCATCAGACTCCTTCCCGGCAAGCACGTCCTCTCTCACCTTTGACCTGGAGAGAAGTTTGCCACAGTCAGAGGTCTATTGCAGGCCCCATAGAATAAATTCACAGATTGTTTTGAATATAAAAGGTATTTATTTTTCTTCTGCTCCTCCTCCCTCTGGCCTCAGGAGGTGATTTGTCAAAGGTGTACTAGCAGGACACTAGGAGTCATTTCTTTGTAACTCCCACACTGTCCCTAGCCTCGGGCTTAGGCTGATGTGTCAGGGCTATTCTCAACTGGGAGACTTTAAAACAATACGTTTTGTTCTCTACTCACCTTTTAGGGACAGTGATAACCGTAAGAAGTGCAAGGGGTGGGTCACCACGCAGACCCCATCCTTGACCTCTGGCCCTGACTAATCAGTAATTACTGGAAGGTGCTCTTTGTTCCCAGAACCCTCCCCTCCCCTTTGTCTTCAGCCCGAGGGGAGGCTGATGAGGGGAGGCTGACGGTCTGTGCCCCCGAGGTGTAGTGCGGGGCCCCTCTGATGAGCAGAGCTCGGTGTCCTTGGCCGTTAGCACGTCTGCAGAACCGAGACCCAGCCGGGGCGTAGCTGCCGGCCAGGGAGGACTTCTGCCCTGTCGGAATGGGGGCGGCAGCATCCCAGGTCTGGCGAAGAGCAGTCTGGCCAGCCCGCTCACCTGCGGCGGCTTAGGAACATTTTCGGTTCGTTTCCCCTCACATCGCCAGCCGAGTGTACTCCCCAGAAGGGATTTAGCACCATTCTCAGAAAGCAGTTATAAAATTTCTCCCCTTCATCTAATATTTATAGAGTTATGATTTTATAACCGTTTAAAAGCTCAATTAAAATTAAATCTAGAATTACCATATGATCTAGCAATGCCTTTTCTGGGTATACAGAAAAAATTGAATGCAGGAACTCAAACAGATATTTGCACAGTATGATACATAATAGCCAAGAGGTGGGAGCAACCCAAGTTTCCATCTGTGGATGAATGAATTAACAAAATGTGACACATAGATACACAATGGAATATGATTCAGGCTTAAAAGGGGAGGCAGTTCTGACACATACTACATCATGAATGAACTTAAAGACATTTGCTCAGTGAAATAATCCAGACACAAAAGTACAAATATTGTATGATTCCACTTACATGAAAACCCATGAAAACTCATAATGCAGAGACAGACAGTAGACGAGTGGTTGCCAGGGGCTGGGCGGAGCGGGAACGGAACGGGTGCTGCTGTCTACTGGGTGTGGAGTCTCAGTTTGGCCAGACAAAGAAAAGAGTTCTGGAGATGGGTGTAGCAGTGATGGAGTGCAACGATGTGAATGCACTTACCACTGCTTAACTGTGCACTTACAAATGGTTAAAGTGGCAAATTTTACAGTGTGTATGTTTTACCACATTTTTAAAAAGCATCACAATTCTAAGATTAAACAAGCTAGGAGCTTGAAAATTCTTGGTATACAAAATACACTATTGAGTCAGTGGGGATGGGGAGACAACTCATGTTAGTAAAAGACACAACACGAAATTCTTTTGAGAGTACACTTTCAAAGATACAACATATACCCCTGGCAGGTGTAGCTCAGTGGATTGAGTGTAGGCCTGTGAACCAAAGGGTCGCTGGTTCAATTCCCAGTAAGGGCACATGCCTGGGTTGTGGGCCAGGTCCCCAGGAGGAGGTGTGTGACAGGCAACCACACATTGATGTTTCTCTTTCTCTCTTTCTCTGTCTCTTCCTCTCTCTAAAACTAAATAAATAAAAATCTAAAAAATGTTTAAAGTAAAAAAGTAATAAAAAATAAAAATGCAATGTACAATATAATTTTATGTGCACAGACTCTGGGGCCAGTGTGCCTAGGTTCAAATTTCAGCTCTACCTTATTTCGTATCACTGTGCTTCTGTGTCTCCATCTGTAAAATAGGGAAAATAGAAGTACCTGCATGGAATTCTTATGAGAATTAAATTAGTTAACATACATAAAATGTTTATAGTCATACCCAACACACAGTAAGTCCTATCTGAGTGTTTGTTAAGTAAATGTAAACAAGTACATTTTCCCAAAACATTTTCTTTCTAGACAGAAGAGTCCATCTGAATGTGTTTTAAAATTACAGCTTATTATATGGCCCATAAAATGAGCAGGTTGAAATATAGTTTGGTCACGAGCTGCTCTTTGAGGCCGCTCCTCACTCCCTGGGCTCACCGTGTTCTGATTAAAGAGCCGTCTACCGGCTGACTTAACAGTTCCAGCGGGGCTGCGTCGGCTGTCAGCAGGAATCTCTCGTCCCAACCTGGGGCCTC